TGGAGGACGGAGAGAGGGGGGGGTCAGGGGCAATTAAGGGCTTACTTTTTGTGAAGCATGCTACATTTATATTTTGGTTTGATTTTTATCCAGAGTGACTCACAATGAAAAAAATGTTTTAATGTCTGGATACATTTTTATTTTTGGATTCGGCACATTTAAAGGCAACACAGATTTAAAAAAAAGTGTCACACACATGTGGAGTAAATAGTTGTCATGAACTTTAAATGGTTCCTTAAAACTAATTTTGGTGCACAGCTCCTCTCCAACATGCCCTGCTGTATTTCCAATATGATTTCAGCTATTTTGCCTTCATCCAACCTGATGTGCTTGTACTGACACTAAGTTTAGTCTGTACGTTGATGTGTGTGCATTCTCATTGAAAAAACTTCTAAACATATGTAATCAAAACGCTTCTCTTTGTTTTATATCATCGTAAACGGAATATAATATAATATATTTCAGACAAATCAAGCACTTGAGATGGGCATATTTCAATATTTCTCATAAAACTCTAAGGCTGGGCGAAAAAAACAATCCCGAAAGGAGATCTCAATAAAATGTATGTCGATGGCGATGATAAACTATAGTAATTTTTACTCGATATCGATAGACCGAGACGGATCCAAACAGCATGTCATGCAGCAGAAGTTAATCTACAGTGTTGGGGGATGCGAATCATTGTACACGCCCATTTCTCGCTGCAAAGTTGCGGAGGAATTGAAAGTAGCGAGGACATAATGAAAAGAGGGAAAAATGAGTGGACGTCAGGAGCAAAGTAGCAGTTAAACTGAAGAGGAGCTTGTGTTATCCTCAAAAAACGGATGAAATTGTGGATAGAAAAGGTTACAGAACGTCAATAATTTGGAAGTGGTTTGGCTACTTGAAAGATGACGACGCACAGACAGAGGCGGTCTGCAAAATATGTTGTCGGTTGGTGCTAACCAGGACGGGAAACACAACAAATCTTTTCCATAACCTGAAAAAGTGGCATCCCAGTGACTATACTCTGTACGTTAACATGCACGCAGTGGTCAAGCGAAGCTCATAGCTTGGCTCATCAGTCAAGTCGGACTTCTTGTCTTGTCTGAGCATGCAGAAGAGAAAATCGAATTTCTGACCAAGTACATCTGACTCCGCCTCGATAGGCGGCGCTGTGTCCTTTTTAATATGGTGCATACTGAACTAGTTCCGGTTGACCCAAAGAGGAAGCTAACAACGCTAGCTGTCGGCTAGCTGTTTTTCCGGGAGTTACTGCACTGCTGCTACGTCATCTCCTTCTTCTTCCAGGTGAAAGCCCGCAAAAGAAAAAGTGATGCATGCACAGAACGCCGAGTCCGAATCCAGTCGGATTAAGTGGATACATGAGGCAATAGCTGGATTTTCAATCGAATTATCTAGGTGTGTTAGTCAAGCTACGGATAGTCTAATTTCAGTCGGACTAGGCTGTTTACATGCATTTAAAAGTCAGGTTTCAGTCGGACTAAGCCAATAATTTGATTTTCTCAAGCTGCATGTAAACGAACTGACTGAGGGCATGAAAGCGATCGAAAAGGAACTATAACAGAAATGTAACAGACACAGTGTCGTGCTTTCTAGCCAAATACATGGCGCCATGAACACCGTGTAGAAAGACGGGTTCAAGAAGTGAAGTGCTAGACTGCAGGTACGAGCTCCCAGGGAAGAAATATTTTTCTCAAACTGCTCTGCTCCAGCTTTACATCGAGGTCTGTGGGAAGCTGGAAAATAATTTGGTTTCTTCAGGTGTCTGACATTATCAGGATACTTTTCAAACTCAAAGCTTTATCAAGTTATATACTGTGATAAATATCTATCAATACTGGGAAAATTATCGTGCTAATATTTTTTGCCATATCGCCCAGCCCTATATCTATAGCCCTCTATCTAACAAGCAATTGATCATAGAGAAAACACTCCTAAATTACAGTCCTACTTGTGGTACGGTCAGTTCATACCACAGCTGATGCTAGCCAAAGAATACTTCACCCGTAAAACAACCACTTGTATACTGAACCCAAAAAAGGCGAACATTCTTTGTGGATTAAAGTCAACAGGAACTGCGTTTAACAAGAGCAAAACTATATCAAAAAACATCTGTTTGCAAACTCTTACGCAACACCTGCCGTATAATCCAGGTCTCATTCATTCAGTCATATGCTCAGTACTTCCCACACACACGCATTTTGGCTAAAATGTTGAGATTTGAAACTCAGTATAAACAGTCTCATGCACGGCCGAGTAGCATGCCTGGGCACGTGCTTGCTCATGCACACTCAGGGTTTTTTTGTGGGTGAAGGTGTTTTCAATAGTAAGGTTTTAGGAAAAATGCGTGTGTGTGTAGGAAGTACTGAGCATACGACTGACGTGGATTACACTGCATGAGTTATGTGAGAGTTTGTAAACAGTTGTTTTGTTGTAGTTTTACTGTTGTTAAATGTGTACCTGTTTACTTCAATTCACATAGAATGTTCATCTTTTTTGGATTCTCCGTTTATCATGATGGTATGCAAGACAAACAAAGTTTTCTTCAGAGATTCCAGGCTACACGTGGTGAGTATTAGATAAACAAAGTGTTATTTTGCAGGTAAAGTATTTTTAATAGCCATTTGTCCAGTAAAGGAAGTCTTATGTGTGACACTGAACCTCCTCCAGCCTGTTTGTGTCGTACACATGCTTATCTCCAAATGGCCAATATAAATTTGTACGTGTTCAACTCCTTCACAACGATGAAAGAGGTAGTAAATCACATTGATGGAAGGTGGGCTCTGTAAGAGTCCCTTAGATGTAAGATAGATGTACTTGTTAGCAAAGGTGAGTAACAGGGGTCATGCTTCTATTGGTCAGTGAGCACGCAACGGGGAGTAAACTTGCAACAACAAAGGCACAAAGTGAATCATCTGACAGGACTTTCACTTTTACATCCAACATCTGAAGCACAGTCCAGTGTGGTCGAGTCAAATACTTTCTATCATTACCAAATAGCATTTTACCCATCAGCATTCTTAACAGATATCCTGAGTTAATTTTGTTATGAGCTTTCCTACTCTGCTTTAAAAATATCTCATTTGTGCTATCAGTCATGTTAGAAGCTAAATGTCGCCTGTTTTTCAAATGTGTGGAACACAGCTATTCATTTATCTGCCAAAGCAGTTGTCTTGGAGGGTGAATCAGTATTTATTTAAAGGAAAAAGCTGCCAACTGCTCCCGGCATTTTCTTTTTAAATTTTATTATTCATAACAGCAGTATTTGGCCACTGATGCAGTGCTTTTATACCAACTGCTGCAGCTAATCCTACATCTCCTCCCCTAAGAGAAAGAGGAGAAAGATAAACCCTCATTTGGAAAATAGGTAAACACCAGCTCCCAGGCAGGTACACATTTAGCCCAGTTTACCACGCAAAAAAAAAGGGGTAGAAAGAAAGGAGAAAAAAATTCCTTTGATTCTGAGATGGTGGAAAAAAGTAAATTTACTCCAGTTGCCGTTCAATTTGGACTGGTGGACATTAAAGCAGGAGTCGGTGCCTAATAAGAGCCATGCCTGAACGAGAGAGAGAGAGAGAGAGAGAGACAGAGAGAGAGAGAGAGAGACCCAGTGGAGGTGTGTCTGTGTCTGACTCTCGGCTCCAAGGGTCCTGCTAATGGATTTCAGCTCCCTCAGTGTCCCAATTAGCTGGTATGCATGCTCGGTTTATGAATTCATGTGTGGATGTAAAGTGTGAGAACATGCATGTACAGAACGTATGCATATCTGTATCGCTAGTTTCAGTGTGTCATTCAATAAAAGCAGCAATCTCCCACTTGACATCATTTGAAGTTCACAATTACAAAGACTATTCTGTTTGTTCATTTTGTAAAAAGAACAAAAAACAAACCCACAGCCAAGACCGAAAGGAATCAATTTACTCATTCTCAGCAACAGAACGCCTATCAACATAAACACATGGCGACACAAACAGAAAACAAACAGATAAACCTGTCCTGTTTAAGAGCAGCTTTTACCACTTTTTAAGGAAGAGCATTACAAAGAAAATAGTGAGTGCACTTTTAACCCTGACCCCGCTTGAGGACGGACAGGCAGAGCTCAAGACTTACCTGTAATAAACCCCCATAGCTTCAACACGTGACCGTAAATCACACTGCGTGCCTTCAAAGTATCAAATATCAACTAATACAACACCGCTCACCCCTGGCTTTTATCCCCACATTTCCTCCTCTGTGTTCTGGTGGTGGCACTGCCTTCAAAGTGCAACCATCTCACTTTTTTAAAAGGCACGCCGAGCAATTTATTTACCAAGAAAGTGCTGCCGTAAATGACAGAAAAAGCAGCACAATTTACTGACAAGTAGTGAATGGGGCAGGGGGGCTAGGAGCGAAGCCAGAGGTCTTGGCTAGGCCTGTGAAAGACTATAAAGCTTTAGTAGTAGCCCACGACCTGTTTATGGCCGGCTGAAACACTGTGGTGTGAGGCTCCTGATCACTCAACAGCTCGAGACTGCTGCCACTCTTGCATAACGCACAAACAGAACAGGAGATGATGAGGAAAAACAAGCTGTTAGACACAGTGAGTGCATTTAGTGGCATCCGACTTATCCTGCAAGTCCCTGTTTTTGACAAGAACCACAGGCCATACCAAAAAAAAAAGAAGTAATAAGGTTAAAAAATGTGAGTGATTTCCAAACATCTAAAGTTAACATTGTGTGGGGGATGAATGGGTAAATGACGCATTTCATCATTTTCCATAAAAGGCTCTTGGCATCAGTGCCCATTGGTTTGGAGCATGACTGCAGGGCTGCCCAGCTGGAGGAAAAAAAAAGGCCTGGTATGCTCGGCACTTCACTACACAGACCCAAATACCCACCAAGAGGATTCAAGGCAGATGTGGACTAAAAATGCTGTCTTGGGAGTAGCTTATACGTTAGCTTAAGTTACACAAAATATGACTTCATGTGTGAGTTGGACAGGTTGAATAGGAGGCTTACCTTGTCTTCACTACATCGAGGGGATGCATCAAGCAGATCTCTACCAGACCTGAAAGGTAGAAACAGTCAGAGTAAGTCACTTTCTGATGTTGTGAACACACTAGTGGTGATACAACAAAGTTTGTTAAACTACAAAGTGCCAAAGTGAACTGGAACTTCAATTTAGTTCAGGGTTCAGAAGAAGACCTTTTTCAAAAGCCCACTTGACTGTTGCACTCCATAAATTTACATAAGGGCAATAACACACAAAAAAACAACAACTGAAAAATTAAAAATCGGATTGTGGCCTTTCATGACAACCATTTCCCATAAGCCATACAACATCACATGTTCATGGCATCACAGAAAAGACAGTGAGTTCAGACATGTCTATAATAACAGCTGAATAGAGAAGATTGCACAGAATGTTATCTGTGAACAGATATCTGCATATGTATGCAGACTCTGTAGGAACCTGAACAAGATTTTGGTATCGTAAACATTCTGGTTTCTGTTTGAAGTCTGAGTAGTTTTGCCCAATCATGTTTAAGTGGCAGATAAAAAGTTCATGAGCAAAAGATGAGTAACACATTGGCTCAATCTCGGAACCTGTCAGCTATCGTATGACGATGATTTAATTTCAAGCATCACAATGTGATGATTGGTGCATTTCTCTGGCTTAAATCACTATTAAGTGAATATATATTTTGCACAGTTGGTCAATATGAGGGATTTAAAACTATAATGCAAGCAATGAAATAATTGCTAGATCAAATGATGATGAAAATAATCGTGTGCAGCCAGAGACGTCTCATCGGTCTGAAATGTCTTTGTAACATTGTTCTTTTTAAAGTATGCACATTACATACTCGGGCTTTACTAGGGTTTTTCTTTTTATGTATGACTGCAGTTATTCAATGGGGGAGATATCTTCATAAGCCATTTTTGGCCCTTAACCTTTCACCCTGCACAGTGTTTTAACTTTTAATTTTAATTAAATTTTAAAATTAATTTAATTTAATTTTATTGCTGTTTAGTTTTTCATTAGTTTTTGCATATGAACGCCCTCCAGATTAGTGTTGTCAGGGTACCAATATTGGGACCCACTGTATGATACCAATGAAAATATCATGGTTCTGAGTAGTATCATGATACCACAGTGAAAATGAGGCAGATGTGCCTTATTGACTTATTCATACTTCAAAAACAGCATCAATCAGTGATGAACATAGGGGGGATCAAAATAAAATAAATAAATAAAATAAGAATCAACCAGCCACCCTCCTCCCCTGACGGTTCCTTCATAAGTAAAGAACAGTCCCTTAAGTGCGGTGAGGTTTGTGGGCTGTGAACGGCTCGTTCCTCCTCTGACACATCACATACCTGTGTTTGGCTGGCTTGGCTGTTCAGGTACTTTTGGGCAGCCATGACGCCAAGAAGAGGATATTATTGGAGCCGACTTGTCCGTCGCCGGTAAGCCGATGGCCGCCGTATTTGACAGGAATACATTAAGTTACTGTCTGTGTCTGTGACCCCCGTTCAACCCACAACCGATGGGACTGACCTTTCGTTTCTGCTGGTGGTTGAAATCTGTAGGCTGCTCGCATAGTGTGCTGAATGATTTAAGCCTATTTTGCTCGCTCAAAACTATGGATCGCCACACTGCCAACATTTTACTCTGCCTGTCATGGCATGCTGTATGATTGCGTTATCAAAACACGTCACTATTATTTGGCCTTGCTTTTAACTTATTCCACCGAATACCGAATGTATGTTTTTTTGCAATATTCGGCCGAATATATTCGGTTACCGAATATTTGGTGCATCCCTAAACTAAACTAAACTAAACAAAATTAAAATAAACTAAACTAGGGCTGCACAATATGCAGAAAAAATTGATATTATGAATATATTGACAGATATTAAGATTGTGATATGAGTTGTGGTTTAAGTGGAAATGGTGATTTTCATATTTTATTTTTCCTGAAAATGTGATTTTTGCCAGAGTCAGTACTAAACAAGCATGTTCCCTTACGTCTAGAATAATATTTGCAGACTGGACAATCTCTGTAGCAACACAATGCTTCATGTAATATCACGTTGCGACACATTTAACCTTCATGAAAAAATTGCAGCTCCTGAGAATTGGATATTGCACTCAGCCATGTTAAGCTGTCTATTTTATTTATGTGTAATTAACCCATATTTAACCAAGTAAGTCCCGTTGAGATCAACAATCTCTTCTACAAGGGAGACAGCAGCACACAAAAAGTTACAGCCAAACAACCACACAATAAAAAACACAAAAGATATACAGTAACATGTAGAAATATTAGAACACCTACGCACAATGGCAAGACCCAACTGTTTCATTCATCCTTGTACTATATAATATAATATCTACAATAATTGTGCAGCCCTACTGTGCACCAGTCAAATCTGCCATGTGGACCCCAGATGAACTTGTACAACTGAACTGTACATATCTGTTTAAGCCCAGCAGGATCAGAAGGCAACATAAATCTGATCTTTCATGTCAAGTGTGACAGTTGAACTCAAAAAAATCTGATAAGAAAGCTGCCTGACTGCTGACTGGAGCAAAAGTCAGTGAAAGTTTGTTCATGAGAAGCAGTTTTTTAAAGTAAAAGTGTTGTAAATGCTCTTCTTGTTGCTTGATACCAAATTGTTTTGACAGACATTTAGTGCCAGCGCCCGCCAGCCTTCTAACAGAACCTTATCATCACACTGATTATCACTCTGCCTAATTTAAATGCCAACTACTTCAGTAATTCCTGGTGTTTTGAGCCTTGTACATTCAGCAAGAACATGGGTCTGAATGAGTGATCCAATGAGACTTCCTTCCAAAATTCCTGCGAGTGACTATAATTCTCGGCATTTTGAAGGGCTGAAGCCACCAACCATGTCATCCATGTAAACCCAGTAACATCAGCAGCGTGCCAGCAGCTGGAGAATCAATGCAGCCGGGTTGATCAGCGAGGGACTCTGAGGTTTCACACACACGCTAACTATGTGCATCTGTGTTGAAAAGCCACTGCTTTGGCACGGAGGCCTTCTGACTCAATCAAGTTTTTTTTTTTAAACTCACAATTCTCACTGAATCCCTCTTCTGGTGCCGTGCGGATTCCACTGTGTGTGTACACAGCTGCTGTGCAATATGGACTCTTTCTAATTTGCTCAATTAAACATATTGTCTATAAAAGAGTGTGTCTTCTGGGGTTTTTCCAGGGAAGTAATTATCAAGTAAAATAGCACAGGAAAAAATTACTTTGTCTACAGTTGCATCTTAATGTACGATTGGGAGGAACTATTGAACTGAGCTACCGGCGGGCAAGAGTCAAACAAAATTCCATCTGTCACGGCTCAGTTGACCTGACTACAGTTGTTAATGATACTGCACTGAAAAGGTAAATACAGGACTGCTCTGGATGGATAATTTTTTGGCCCTGCTATTAATAGGCCTGCAGTGAACATGAGGCGCATCAAATCTTTCAGCAGGTAATCGGATTACATGATGAAACCAAACCTGCTTGATCAGTCTGTGCAAACACAAAGATGCAGGGAAGTGACCAAACATGCTCCAACAGGTGATGGAGTGGTGGGAGAGCAAAGTCTGGGAGAAAGGCAGAGCTTCTGTAATCTCATGCAAACAGAACACTTGGATGCCAAGTGGGAAGTAAAAACAAAGAGAAGACCTAAAAAAAAAAAGAAAAAGACCCAGTTCTACAAAACGCTCCTGCAAACTTTATAGTAGAAAAACAAAGTTCTTGCACTGCATGTCCCGCTCTGCTTCATACAGAGGGAGTCTGTGGGAACTAGTTTAATTAATGGCAAATATTCAGTGGTGGAAGAATGATTTAGATCTTTTTCTAACATGAAGGTAGCAATATCACACTGTAAAAGTCCTGGATTCAAAATAAATTGAAGTAAAAGTACATTTGTAGTATTTGCACAAAAATAAATAAAAAAAAAAAAACACTTAAAGTATCAAAGGTGAAAGAATTCATAAGGCAGCAGACAGGCCCGTCTCATTGTAATACTGCTGTATCATATAATGCATCATCTGATTATTATAACATTACTAGTAATGTTGTAGTCGGCTGAGGTAACTAAAGCCTTCAAATGCAAATGTGATGGAGATAAAGTATCTTAAATTGGAAATGCTCAATTGAATTACATAAAAATTGTACTTAAGAAAAGTACTTGAATTACTGTAATTAGTTTCCTAACATCACTGCATATAGCAATGTGCAGAACTGCTGTTAGGGATCGCGGAGAGGGCTGGAGCCTATCCCAGCTGACATTGGGTGAGAGGCAGGGTACACCCTGGACAGGTCACCAGACTATCACAGGGCTGACATAGAGACAGACAACCATTCACACTCACATTCACACCTATGGACAATTTAGAGTCACCAATTAACCTGCATGTCTTTGGTCTGTGGGAGGAAGCTGGAGTACCCCGAGAGAACCCACGCTGACACGGGAGAACATGCAAACTCCACACAGAGAGGCTCCCCCACCCTGGGGTTCACACCAGTACAGTTGTCATGAACTGGGAAAATTAGCGAAAGAGACCAAAACCATTTATGTACATGGCTCTAAACATGTTCAGCACTTTAACGTGGAGCTCTATGGGGCCTCTAGTGGCCATTCAAGGAACTGCATTTTTGACACTTCTGCGTTGACTTTATTTTTCAGCTCCAGAGAGATTGCCACTTGGCTATCAACATTATTAAATCACTATTGTTTCCAGCTTGATCGCAATAAGATCATGATTTATTGTATAGTGACATATTATCAATTGTCCTCCATCTTTGATCACAGCACACATAGTAGGCCTTCAGCCATTAGCTAAATGAACGTTGGTCGGGATTGTCACTACACGCTACATGTATGATAATGGTGGGGCGCACAAAAATCTGTTTTTCAGCAGAGTTTGGCATTAATAAATACTTATATTGTAGCTAAAGGTTGCCAAATTTTCTTTTTACACGTATGGTACATGTCTCTCACACAAGTTAAAAATAGGTTCGAATCTGGAAAGTTATA